TAGCCTTCTCAATCCTTTTGCGAGACAAAAGGAACTGATAGACATATTTGTCTACTACTCCAATCGGCTCATTTGCATGCAAGACGTTAGGGTTGGGGTCCAGTCTTGCAGCAGCACTTCACGAGTGTGAAGCGCACACCAAACCGTGAGGGAGCATTAGATTATTTAATACTGTTTGTAACATATCGAGAACAGCCTTGTCGTCTGCGTACTCGATATCTGTGAGCGAATGCCTCGGGAGCACATCGACCTCACAGGCATTAGAGCCTGACGGTGAGCTCCATATTAATGACCGAACTGAAGAGGAATGGTGAAAGAAGACAACCTTGCTTGACACCATTGATGAAGTGGACTCAGGCGAAGGTTTTTTGTAAACCTTCGCATGTCTGAGGGAGATGGCGAACAGTGCCCTAAGGAGGGTGAAGAGTTTAGTGGGAACACCTTTGCTTTACAGACACTGCCAAGGTGCTTGACGGTTCACAGAGCCAAAGGCAACCTTCAAATCAAGGCAGGTAACCACTATTGGGCGCTGGAAACAGTGTCACTGTTCCGTAACCTGTTAAGATTGAAAATATGATCGATGCATCATCTTGTAGGACGGAACCCAGCTTAGTTTTGATGGATCTGCCACTCCCTCTGTTCAGTCAACCTTCGAAGGTTAGGAAGAATGAGAGAGCACCTTCAACGCAACAACCACCGATGCCACGGTGGCTTTCACACAGTGTCCGGGTACCCTGTTTGAAGATGAGAATAGCTGTCGACAAACCCCATTCTTCAGGCACTTTCTTTTCATCCAATAACGCACCAATAAGTTTTGTTAGATGGATCACCAACGATTCTCCCCCTTCTTTGAACAGGGCTGGATAGACCGTCCGGTCCTGGTGTATTTCCACCAGTACCAATATATCATACTTTACTTCTTCTTCCGATGGGTAATTACAGTCTACATTCCGTTGACCGTATGCAATGTATCCAGAGGCTGTCGCAGAGGTGTTCAGACCATTTTTCCAGTAGACGTTTTGAGAGTGAATTATTGAACCGCCTTTTTCACTTACTGTTTCACTTGTCGTTGATCTCTTAGGGCCAGTCGATCGTATCAGTTGATATGGGGCACGGCTGTTTCCGGTAGCAAAAGCCCTCCTACCTCCCGAGCTTTCGATATCCACCAGAGCTCTGTTTTTCCTTAGACTCTTCACTATGTGGCATTTGAAGGATTTGCGTGTGCCATCGTAGTCGTTGCCCACCGGTTTGGATTTCCTTGCATCAATTAGGACTAGCGGTTTCGACGACATCCAGTGTTCATGTGATCTAATCGGAGAAGTCGGACAGATAGCAATGAACCCCACTAGCAGGGCTCCATTCACATTTGTCCACATATGCCCACGTGCTCACTACCAGCACAGTAGTGGTTTACTGTAGAAAACTGTTGGGTTAGCTCAGATCAATACTGTTGAACAGTGGTAGTTCTTCGAAGATAGTGGATTGGCATGCTTTTTGCAGACTTGCGGGTGCCTGAAGGGAAACGAATTGTCGGGCGTGCACGCACCATGGCGTGATCGGAATCAGGTTATGCCCCACAAGGGAACTCACGCTCGACAACAATCGATTTGTTGGATTGAACGAAACCCACGGGGATACCCATTTTCTACGGGAAGATTTCCGTCGTCAAGCTCATGGGGCAATATCAGGGATGCATATCAGGTAACCGCAAGAGCTTTTACAATTAGAAACGCGTAACAACCTCTTTTACGTGATCATTTTTACCAACTACCCAAATCAAGATCCCCTCAAACACGTCCAGGTATTGATCGTAGTGAAAATTCAACAGACCCGCATCTAACATCTGACACGTCCATAAAGTATGATGGCCTTTGTGTGACACATTAAGTTGAGGCATATCATGAACAAGAGATTCCATTGCGCCTCCTGTTAACGCCAAAGCTATTCGCAGGTTAGTGTGGTTCGCCATCTGCTAAGGCTGTTTGAATTTCACATTATCTTATCTTAATGTGATCCTATTAAGCAACGTAGTTCTCGCACAATGAGTAATAAATACGGTGTGCCATTAGGCATCTGAATTTTCTCAAGATACAACCATATGAGCAGGTACTATGACAGGTTTTCTCTAATGCTGATAGCGGTCTGCTACTGTATGTCATTTACTGTCCAGTCTTCCTCTCGACGGTCTGAGTAGTCGCTTCCGATTTATCATCAACTGCGGGACACTGTCGCGAAGAGGACGCACCTTAGTGAGTACGACCGTTAGTGCACCTCTATAGCTCATAGAGTTACACTGGGAAATGTATGTGACACTCACAGGACCTTTCATACCAGGTTGGTCAAAGGGCATAGGTCAGATTAATACGGTCTCCTGGCCCTCCATATTGGGGGTTGGGACAGGAGTGACAGCTTGTTCTTTGAAATTGATAATGTGCTTGAATCTTCCGACAAACAACAATGCCTTGCGATGAGGCTTTTGAGCTAAAGACTTCGGCCGAGGACACTGGTCGTCCCCAGCACTCTGTCAATATCCTAGTCTATGTACCACCATGAACTGAACAACCGCCGTCTACAGTAGAGTGGTACTTGCAAATTCCCTGATATAGTGCTGTTAATCGAAAGTAATCAAACATACGGAGGACGAACCATCGCATCATAGCAGTGTGTGTGTAGTGACTGAACAATCAACACAAAAACTGACCTGAATTCTCGGAACCTTGGTATTCTCCTACTCTTGTATTATCCAAACAAGTGAATCTTAGTTGCAATAGATTAGGAGCCCACTAGATAGGTCATCCAAAACTACGTCACGCGAAGTTGGCCTGTAGTAGAACGAATAAACTGCACTGGCATCATGCGTTTTGGAGTGGCACTCGAAAGCAGGACAATGCCGTTCCATTTGAAGGTGCGTGAACTAAGACGCACATATTTATGGATCTATGGTCAAAAAACGGCAAATAAAAGGTCCTGTGGCAGTAATCTGACCTTTACATCAATATTATCGTCAACAATCTCAAGACAGTTAAGCACTGACGTGCACAGTCTTTTCGACTGAAATGAACCCCCTACATTCTGCCTTCGATGGGAGGAAGAGACGCATTTTAGGTCTCCTAACGTGGTCATCTATGAATCTGGGTCGTTGTCCGATTTAAATAGTAGCCACAAAACTGAGAATTCATGCATCAATCAAGATCACAATCATTTCAGTAGTTCTTAATATTGACTAAAAAATTAGACCAATCTCAGTTCCGCTAAACAGAAGCCATGGGGCCATTCTTTTGTATCGTAGTATCGGTAGTCAAGCTCGTTAAGCAGCAAGTAACTATCGGTGCTCTTGGTGTAAATGGTCAAACTATGAATCAGAAGGTGGTATGCCATCTAATCAACCACCGGTGGTATGCACTAATAACAGTTTATACTGTGCAAGACCATAGCTTACAGTTACTAAATGCACCATGTATAGTATAAATACAATGACAAGGTGAAGTCAAAAGGTGACCTAACGTGTAAGCGTAGCTGGTAAGCGTTCTTGAGTAAGGGTTCGGAAGCAGAAGGTCTTCGCTTTGCACTATAACTGCTGCACGTGTTAGGTGATTTTCCATGGACCCGTGGAGTTCGGTTGTCTTGTTTGCGTGCATGTGTGTTGCGTGAAGTTGCGTGTATTTATTGTGGGCAACGTCAAAACACGGGTTTGAAATCACATTGTTTCCTAGTTAAAAGCAATATGTGGATCGCAGGTGAGGTTCCGTCCATCAATGCTAAAGAATTGAGAAGCACTCATCCTTATTGGGAATCATCAACAATGCGCCTCGCATGAGACTCCAGGGAGGTCCGAACCCACGGCCTGCCAGTTAGTAGTTTGAGCACTTAATCGCTCGGTCATTAGCGGCTGGTCAGCATTGTGATCAACTTGCCCTTAGGCAGAATACACTCAATCCTCAATCACGGAATCCACACAAGCACTCATATTGGGAATCATCAACAATGCGCCTCGCATGAGACTCCAGGGAGGTCCGAACCCACGGCCTGCCAGTTAGTAGTTTGAGCACTTAATCGCTCGGTCATTAGCGGCTGGTCAGCATTGTGATCAACTTGCCCTTAGGCAGAATACACTCAATCCTCAATCACGGAATCCACACCAATTGGTCACGTGTTGAGTGTCTCCTTCGGTGACGACATATCAGATGAAAGATCCACTCGTCGTGCGCGTTATTCTTTCTGATCTACTTATAGATTGTTGGTAGTGTAAGCGACTTACGGGCGACAGACGTGATGCACAGTAGAAAATTAGCAGTCTGTGTTGGCTTGGTTACAAACAAGCAGCTGCTTGTACATCACAGCTTGGTGTATGTTGCGAATGCGCGAATCTAGAGTATCAAGAAATGCACCTCGTGAAAGACCCTGCGTGTATCCGCTGTCGGTGTGAGGATTGCGCACACAGATCTACGACTTACCTAGTCAGCCGGATATAGTTGACTCATTAAACGACATGGCAGATGACATACGGTCACTGATCAATAGTTTGCTTGCAGATTTCACAAGCCTACCCAAGCGACTGCGTAGGAACGCAACCACGTGACGCGACGTCGTCATGATGTTAGGACTCATTATGGCCGAAAAAAGTCTTGGTATCGTAGACTAGTCTACGGAATTACAGTGATCAAGGAAATTCCGGTTTAGAGTTGAGCCGTCAGTCAGGTTGGCATAGTGCCAACGAATAAAACCTATGGCTAAATTTGACCACAGTTGGCGGACTCTTAGCAAGCCGATGACAAAGCTACATGGTAGAGTATATGCGCAAAAAATTTAGTCAGCAACGGCAAAACAAAGGAGAAAGATCGATAAAACCCGCTATGGATGTACGTAATCGTTTCGGAGACACTAAGCAAAAAACTTATTCAGGCCAGAGAGGACAACGTGGCCGTTCTATTCATTCACTCGCAAGATAATAGGCGTGATCGCATCTCTTGTACCAAAACATTTCTAAAATCAGGGCTCACCTAGTTCGGTAATGGGAGCACTAATGCAAGTCCGAAAGCGCTGAGCCCGGCCACGGTCCAAAAGGCGTTGATGCATTGTGGGCCGATCATCGGGGGTGGCGCGTAATCTAACACCCATACCAGGTGCATGTTTTGAGAAAGGACTTCCGGTTGACGCAGACTCCGGCCGACTCACAGAGGGAATAACAGGTGCATCAAGACGGTTCTGCAGAGAAAAAGGTAACAAACGACCATGAAGTAAACCAATATTCGTAAGAAGACAATATGGCAGCGGCTTTCAAACGCTGTTTATCGTAGCCCCCTTTTGTAATAGTCGTGGGTTGGCGATCATCAAACCTACACGGCAAAATAAAATTTAGTTGGGAGAAAAAATGAACACCGGTTTTTGCCAGCTTCGATGCCCGATGATTTTCGTTTTGTGTCAGTGAGTTAATTAACCGTTTCATGGAATTCCTTCTAGGCCTCAAAGCAATGCACCCTCTCGCAAGGAAACACTGTCAGACAAAACCAAAACCCTGTATCGTTAAGGAGGCTACCTCGTGGGAGGATTGACTGTAAGGAACCGCATCAGACACTACGCGCTTCTGATGGATTTTACAACTGATATATCTTTTTCATCTAAAATTGATGCGCCCGATTAAACCAATCACAGATGGCCGTCACGGAGAGACTGCACCTTACCGTGGTGTGACGGTTTGCGCACCTCAGCAATCCATTGAGTCATACAGGGGAATGTCCCCAAGACACTTAGAGTCTCTCATACCAGGTTAGTCAATGGTTAGAGGTCTGAAGAACAGTCTCCTGG